TCCCCCTGAGGGGGAAGCAGCCTTACCAGGCCACAGAAGAAGACAATTCAGCCACTCCTGATGAGACCTGATTGACTAGGATCAGAGGAAAGGGAAGGAGGACCTCCCTTTTCAGTGGACTGAGAGAGTGACAGGGATGGGGAAGAGGGAGGATAGGATTGGGAGGGGAGGAGTGAGGTACAGGGGGATACAAAATGTAATTAATAAAAAATAAAAATAATTTTAAAAAACAAATAAATATGTTAATCAATAATAGCAATGTATAGAATAGATGAATTTTACCAAGTTTGGGGTGTTTTTAATAAATAACCTAATGGTCTTTTCTCATAGGGGCAGCTCATAAATTTCTACTTAAGTGGGGTGCTAGTACTCCTCATAAAAGATATAATGCAGAAATTTGACAAAGAATTAACCACTCACTGAAGAAAATAAGTAATATTATTGCAACAGGTGGACAAAGTTAAACCATCAGTGATATTACTCTGCTTCTATTTAACCTTGACCTCCTTGACCTCTCCCTGAGGAGGGAGCAGCCTTACCAGGCCACAGAGGAAGACTATGCAGCCATTCCTGATGAGACTTGGTAAACTAGGATCAGAAGAAAAGAGAGGAAGACTTGGGGAGGGGCATGTGTGGAGAAGGGGGAGGGTGGATGGGATGGGGTGGGGAGGGAGTGAGCTACAGGGGGGATACAAAGTGAATAAAGTGTAATTAATAAAAATTAAAATAAAAAATACTGAAGTTATGCCTCTGGTTTTCTTCTAACATGATCTGGTGTATTAGGTGTTTAATATTTACTATTGATATATCTTTTATTAAAGCTGCTGTTAATGTTAAACAGCTGTTTAACCACGGTTAATCCTAAACAGCTGTTTAACAATATCACCACACAGAGACTAGGATTTATTTAGTTAACCTAGAATACAATTCTGGGTAATAGTTACTCCATCCTAAACCTTCAAGCCTGCATAGTTTCATGCCATTCAGATTCACCCATTATACTTGCTTTTAGTGATATCTTAGGTCTGGTTCATCTCTCCAAGTCCTTCCAAGACCTCTCCTCCAGCCTCTGCTTTCCCAGCTTCTGCTCCTCTTCTCCCTCCTACTCCTTCCTCTCCTTCTGCACCCTTCCTCTCCTCCCTCTCTGAACCAGGATGGCCCACTCCATCATCTCCATTGCTCAACACTGTGGCTGATTGTTTTAATTGACAAATTGGAGAACAAGTTATGGCAAGTTTACACAAACTTGAGACAGGTGATGCTTAGAATAAGTATCACAATGCAATGTCCAGATTGAAACCAGATAGTCAGGGAGAAAAATCAGCATTTGAACGAACAAGGGTATGGTTCCAAAAGAACATTATACCAACAATTGTCTCTCTAAAATGTCTACCCCAACTATTAAACTAATCCTCACTGAGAAGATTGAAAACTTGCAGAGTTATGAAAGACCTAGAACATTAGAATAGACGGTAATGAAGGATATTGGAAAGGACTCTCAAAAAACCAACATTGATTAAATGTGATTAAGTCTGAGTCTGAATGCTGGGTGAAATTTAGCTAGTGATCCACTAATGTCAGCTTACTGACAGTCGCCCACGTACCATATGTGCACAGTGTTCATAGGAGGAAGGTGAAGTGTGGTAGTTAGGAACATTATATTACACTTCTTTTCTACAAATATAAAACCCTCCCAAGTCTACACGTTTATTTAAAATTTTAACATAGAAATATACCATAAAAATAATAGTCTGTAACCTAAGGGTATCTTCTTATGTTACATGTAGGTCATCTCACACATGAACCAGTGATACACATTTTGGAATAATACTTCACCCATCTAGAAGTTACACCTTTGAGTATTTAGAACTCTTCTTATGATCTTCACTATCTCACTTAAAAAAAAAAAGGAGTTACTTGTTTGCTCAGGGAGGAGCAGCCTTGCTAGGCCACAGAGGAGGACTTTGCAGCCAGTCCTGAAGACACCTGATAAACCAGTATCAGATGTAAGGGTAAGAGGTTCTTCCTTATCAGTGGACTTGGAAAGGGGCAGGGAGGAGATGAGGGTGGGAGGGTGGGATTAGGAGGGAAAGAGGGAGTGGGATACAGCAGGGATACAAAGTTAACAAACTGTAACTAATGTTAAAAAAATTAAAATTAAAAAAAAAAAAGAAACTAAAAAAAAAAAGTTATCTATTATACTGTGTTCTGCCTGAATGCCAGAAGAGGGCACCAAAGCGTTATAGATGGCTGTGAGCCATTATGTGGTTGCTGGGAATTGAACTAAGGACCTTTGGAAGAGCAGTCTGTGCTCTTAACCTCTGAGCCATACCTCCAGCCCCTGGCTTCTTTTTTTATTATTATTATTGTTTTATTAATTACACTTTATTCACTTTGTATCCCCCCATTAGCCCCTTCCTCCTCCCCTCCCAATCCCACCCTCTCTCCCCCTTCTTCACTAATACCCCTCCCCAAGTCCACTGATAGGGGAGGTCCACAGAAGATGACAATGCAGCCACTCCTGATGAGATCTGATAGACTAAGATCAGAAGGAAGGAGAGGAAGACCTCCCCTCGCTTCTTTTTTAAGTATTTTAGTTTTTCCTTACCTCATGCAGAGATGTTGGAAAAACACCCACATACATAAAGATAAATAAAATCTTTAAAATTATAAATTATCTCATGTATCCTTTGAAATGTAAATAAAGCTATCGGCCAGTCACAGTTTCAACAGAAGGATGCAAACAGAAAATACTATTTTGCGTTATTGTTACATTATGCTTCTGAAATAGTCCATAAAGTTTTGTAATCTGGCATGTATCAGGATGTGAGACAAGCGCTAGAGAGATGGATCACAGCTTAGGCGCACGCCCTTTACTTGCAGATGATCAGGGTTGTGTTCCTGCTCTCACATCAGGCAGCTCACAACCACCTGTAAGTCTTACTCCAGCAGACTGGTTGACTCTGCAGTCTTCAGGCACCTGCACTCATGTGGTCATGATAACACACATAAAATGTGTACATTAACGTAACAAGACTTTCACTTCACCAGTCCTATATAAAAACAAGTAGCTTGTACACTGTTCTCTTAGGCATATAAATCTCTATCAAACAATTACAAATAAGTAATATTTATTTACTTATTTTATATTTAAAAAGTGTAAGTTAAATAAATATCAACACAAAATTAAAGCATATTCTTCTTGAAAACCATTTATAATTGTATTGGTTGTCACTGATCTAAGAATAGAATTGCCGGCAAACATTGATTGTGTACATGCTCATTGGCCAGTGTTCCTATCACACACACTGTTATAGATGAAAAAGACCCAGCAACGTACAGGTTCACAATATCTTCCCATGTAAATATCATAATCTGCCAAACACTGGACATTTAAATTTAAAAGTTGTTTTGGACAATCAAGAAATCAAATAAAATATTTAATGACGGAAGATACACAACTGTAGTTAACATATAGGCGTATTATTTGTGTATAAATATGTACACACACATTTAACCCTGCCAGGTGTCTACTCAGGCTTATGTCTCTGTTTATATACTTTAGTACCCCTCATTGCTGACATCATTTAAATTAAAAACCACTATCCACAAATCTTTCATCTCTATCCATCTATCCACATTTTCACATACACACACAGCCCTTCATGTAACTGTTTCACTCATATGTTTATTCAACTTTCAGTCTTTGTGTTGAAAATATTTTGAAGGAAATTGTGTATAAGCTGAATATATAGTGACTTTATACTTGTCATTATTTTTTAAATCAATTCCATGTAACAAATATGGACACAGCATTTACGTTGCTAGAGATTATAAGTAACCTTATGAAATGCTTAATCCTGCTTAGGGAGGACATACTCTGTGACTATTTCATTTGGTGGGTTCATCGTGTACAAATATTACATAATACACACAAGATAGCCATGACCACACTGGGAAGTAAAGTCTTATGGGATCATGGTTTTATACTTGTTTTATCATTAACCAAAATGTGGTTGGACGTGTTACATGACTATAATACACCATGTACCTAAAGACAGAAACATGCACTCACTTTTTTTGTATCTGTAAGACTCAAAACCAGTTCTCCAGAAGATCCGGTATAACTATACGTTTGCATACTATTCATTAGCCCATTGTGATTTTTTTTGTTTATTTTTATAAATTCTCCTGCCTACAAAATTAAAGTTTCTTATGTTAGGGGAAAAATATCAGTTCCTTATTTCATCATATCCAGAGATTCTGAAAAATATCTCAGTGTGTGACAAATATTAATTTTTGGCTAAATTTCAATTGGTTGTGAATTCAGGTTTCCAAAGGTATATGAGTATCCATATTTGAATTTTGCATTTTGACTGAAAATAGCAGGTCTCAATGAACAACACCTAAGAGTGGTTTGTAATGAAATATTTGGGGAAAATGGAAATCAACCTTCTTCTTTTTAAATTTTGAGAAAAAATATTTAATAAATTGTTATATAGAATACCTTAAATATGTCTTATATATTAATTTATTCTTTAACATATAATGGAAAAATAATAAATATGTTAAAGATCAGTAATATCTGAAACATAATTTTCCAGAAATAATAGGCTTATTACCATAAGGGGAATCCAGGTTAGGATATTTATATATTTTGGAAACATGGCATATGAATTCATTATTTTTTTTCTAAAAATAAAAAAATTAGGAATCTATACTCTGAATAATTAAGTAAAATTATTTCTCTATATTTGAGAAGAACATGAAGAAAAAATAGCTACATTTTTCTTAATACAATTATGAGGATAGTTAGCTATTTTCATATAGCTAAAACATTAATGTTCTTTAACAACTTTCATGTAGATTATAACCTTTTCTGGGATAAAAAATGTAATGATGTAATAATAGCTACAGCATAGCATGCAGAGCATCACAGATTAGCTTATAACTTCAGGGCTCTATTAACCACGTCATTATTTATTTGTGTTATCTTACAGCCCCCTCTCCAGTCACCAACGTGAAAAGGGGAAAGATTGCAAAGAACAGCATCTCTTTGTCTTGGCAAGAGCCAGATCGCCCCAACGGAATCATCTTGGAGTATGAAATCAAGTACTTTGAAAAGGTGGGATTAGGAAAATTAAACCTTCTTTTTCTTTTCCTCTTTCCGCTTTAACAACTTCACTTCTAGAATTGAACAAGAGGAGATTGTATGTTCGTGGATAAACCAATACAAGGATACTTTTCAGTAGTGCTTGTGGGGGCCAGATGCCTGCAGTGAGCCCTCCTGGCACATTCTGATGTGGCTCAACATGGATTAGGCTGTATCCTCAGTTTAACTGATCTCACCTTCAAAGATAAATTTTGGGAATGGGGAGACCTCCTTGTCCTTAAAATCCTCTTACTTTTGATTCCCAGAAACTATAAAAATGTCAAGTGGGTGTGATGGCCATCCTAAAATTTCTGCATCAGAAAGCAGAGTAAGGACATCCCCCGAGCAAGCTGCCAACCAACCATAGTGATATTGGTGAGCTCTGGATTGGATTCAGGGGCTACCACATTGAGTACGGTGGATGAAGATCAGGATGATTCTCCACAACAAGCTCTGACTTCCACACACATGCACGTGTGTGCACGTTCATCCACATATGTACACGAGAAGCACACAACAAATAAAATGGGAAAAAAAGGAATAAAATAAAAGGCAAATCAGAAGATATTTTGGAAGTGTAGAGAATATTTAATCTGTTGATTTGCAGTTGTTTCTACAATACCATACTAGGAAAACTATTTATACTTACGGCCAGTAACTCATCACAGTAACAGTTTCATTAATGTATGGGAAACACACACACACACACACACACATACACAAACTGTCTAACACTCTATATAAGCTCAATTTTAAAATATGAGGAAAAATACTAAAATATGTATTTTCCCCATTAATTTATTCGTTTAATCACTTACAGCCCCTCAGAGAAGGAGAGGGCCCCAGTGGATACCAACCCACCCTGGCTCATCAAGTCTCAGCAGAACTAAGCACAGCTTCTCCCACTGAAGGCAGAAAGGCAGCCCAGCTTGTAGAAAGAAGTCCAAAGGAAGGCAACACAGTAGGAGACAGCTCCTTCTCCCATTGTTAGGGGACAGACACGCATATGTGTAGGGGGCCTATGTCAGCCCATGCCTGTTCTTTGGATGGCAGTTCAGTCTTGTTGAACACCCATGGGTCCAGGTGACTTTACTCTGAAGGTTTTCTTATGGTGTGCTTTACCTCTCCAGCTCCCTCAATCCTTCCTCCCACTCTTCCACAAGATTCCCAGAGTTTTGCTGTGGGTCTCTTCATGTGTTTCCATGAGCTGCTGGATGAAATTTCTTAGGAGACAGTTGCTAGGCTGTCTGTTGCAAGCATCGCAGAGAATCATTAATATTGTCAGGAGTTGATTCTCTCCCATGGGGTGGGTCTCAAGTTGGGCCAGTCATTGGTTTGTCATATTCTCAATCATTGATTCAGCTTTATCCCTATACTTCTTGTAAGGAAGACAAACTGTTGGGTCTAAGGTTTAATGGATGGGTTGCCATCCCCTCCCTCTACTGGAAGTTTCACGTGGTTTCAGGAGGTGGCAACTTTAGCTCTATATCTACAGTTGCTAGGAGTCTCAGCTAAAAGCTCACCCCATAGACTCCTGGGAGCCTGCCCTGTCACAGAGATGCCAGCCCCACTGATTTCCTTTCTCTCTTCAGGTCTTCCCCAACCCTGAACAGGTCCAATCTCATCTGATTTCAGAGGCTAAGCAGGGTAAAGCCTGGTTAGTACTCAGATGGAAATGTGTTCTTTCCATTCTCAGTTTTCATGATTTCTTATGCTTCCCTGAACAATATATGTCTTTATTTTGCACCTACAAATTAAACACACACACACACACACACACACACACACACACACACACACACACA